AGCCCGTGCTCAGGGCCGTGTGACCGCACTGGGACTCGGACCCGCCGTCCCTGTCAGAGGGGCTGCCGGGCGGGAGGCGATGGGCACCCGGAGGGGCAGACTCAGGGCACTGCCAGCCGGGCCTCCAGCGGCGTCAGCGGGACACGGAGCCCGGGGCAGCCCGGGACCCCAGCCCACGCACCGCCTGCCACCTCCTCAGGGTGTGCAGGCCTTGGGGCCCCGGGGTGCGGCCTGCGCCCCTCTGCCCTCCTGGCAGCCGCCGTGGGCAGGAGTAAAGCGCACCTTCCCACGCGCGGCCCCGGGGGCGCAGGGGGCCGCTGAGGCCGGGAACCGCGCAGCGGAAGCCTGGGCTTAGGCCGTGGCAGGGCCCCCGCGGCCCCAGCTGCGGTGCCCTCTGGCGCCCACAGGAAAGGCCCGGTGAAGCGGCCCTGTGGTGGCCGGCCCCGCGGAGAGGGAGGCGGTGGGCTCCGAGGGGGGCAGGGGCACAGGGGGCAGGTGAGGGGCGGGGCGGCCTGGGCGGTGGCTGCAAGGACGGTGCCCAGAGGTCAGAGCGGGGTGTCCTTGCGGGAGGGGGGGAGGGAGGAGGGGGGCAGGAGCCCGTCCACCCTCAGGCCTCCGCACTCGCTGCTCCTCGGGCTTAGAACCCCTCCCCTGACCTCTGCCTGCCGACCCCGCAGCCAGCCCTCCGGGCCGTGTCTCCAGAGCGGCCTCTCGGCCTGGCCTCGGCCACGCCTGACCTGGTCACTCGTCCCGCCCCGCCCTCCAGCAGCTGCAGGGACTTGGCTGCCTGAGCCGCCCGGCTTCCACAGCTCAGAGCTGAGCACCCCCTTCCGCAGCCGCCCCCTCCCCACTTCCGGGGACAGGCTGGCTGCCGGGGACGTGTGGGCAGGCGGGGCCCCGGTCTCACGGGGACGCCCAGGCCTTTGGCACAGCGTGGGGACCGGGGGGCCCCCGGGGGGAGGAGGAGGGGGAGGGGGGGAGGCACATCGCTGGGGCTGTTGTGAGGATACAGGTCCGGGGCCTCCCGGGCTCAGAGGGCCTGGCTTTGCCGCTCTGCCGGGCAGACTGGGGGCTCGCTCTGCCGGGCAGACTGGGGGCTCGCTCTGCGGGAGGCCCAGCAACCAGCAGAGCCTCCAAGGCCCAAGGCTCGGATGCCGAGCAGCCTGTGGGTGCCCAGGGCGGGCAGGAGGGGCTGTGGGTGCCCACGGGGGCAGGAGCGGCTGTGGGTGCCCATGGCGGGCAGGAGGGGCTGTGGGTGTCCGTGGCGGGCAGGAGGGGCTGTGGGTGTCCGTGGCGGGCAGGAGGGGCTGTGGGTGCCCGTGGCGGGCAGGAGGGGCTGTGGGTGTCCGTGGCGGGCAGGAGGGGCTGTGGGTGCCCACGGGGGGCAGGAGGGGCTGTGGGTGCCCACAGGGGGGGGCAGGAGGGGCTGTGGGTGCCCAGGGTGGGCAGGAGGAGCCTCCTGTGAGCTGCTGGGGGGCTGCCTGGGAGAGGCTGTGGGCAGCCCTGCCTTGTGCCCGGGAAGTCTGACTGGAGCTCGGGGAGCTGCGGGTCCTTTCCCGCCGAGACCCCCGCGCTGAAAAGTGCGAACATGCAGGCAGGCTGGCCTACTTCCCGCCGTCACAGAGGAGTGGGCACTGTGCCCACCCTTCACCCAGCACTGCCTTCCGGGAATGAATGGCAGAGGCGGGCTGGCAGAGCAGCTGTGGCTGTGGCACCGTGCGCTCAGGTGGCCGAGCGGCGTCCCCTCAGGCCTGTCTCTGAGACATCCGTCCGCTGTCGCTGCCGCTGCCGCTGTCAGAGCGAGGCCTGGAGGTGGGGCCCGGTCTGTCCTGAACTTGTGCATTGAGGAGGCGCAGGAGGTGCCAGCCAGCCCGGCAGCCAGGGAGCCCCACCAGGGAGGGACCCCCACCAGGGCTGCAGCGCCGTTCTCTGGCGGGGAGTGGGGGCTCCGAGAACCTCACTGGCTCCCAGACCCTCCGAGTTCTCAGCTCCAAGGCACAAGTGCCCCTCCTCCCCGTCTATGGGGCACCCACCCACCCGCTGTCCTGCAGGCGGGGCCGGAGGGGGTAGGGAGGAGGGAAGGGGGCGGCAGGGGCCTCGGGCTGTGCGAGCGGGCGGCGCCCTGCCTCCTGGTCTGGGGGAGCGGCACCAGGGGTCCGTCCGACGGCAGGAGCTGCGGGCTGAGCGGGGAGACGCTCCTTCGGCTCCGGCTGGACGTGGGGGCTGCGTGTGGAGGGCACGTGCCTCTGCCCTCGGGGGCACTTCTCTCATGTGTGCCGGCCCCCGCGCCCCACGATGGGAGCTGCAGCCAGGCCCGCCGCCTCCCCTCAGCCTGTGGACGTAGAGCCAGCAGCTTCACAAGCTGCCGACCCATTTTTCACACACTAGACCCGGGGCACCTGGGGCTGGCGTTTGTGGAGAGGACTGTCCTGAGCACTGGGGGCGGGAGAGGGGAGTAATGGGGGGCTGGCTGCACCCCGCAGACGCCTGCAGCTCACTGTCCGGTCAGAGGCCTGGGCTGAGTGGATACTCGCCAGGCAGTGGGTGCTGACGGCCTCCCGGGAGGGTGTGCAGACCTTAGAGGCCCAACCCGGGCTGAGGCCCTCCGGGCTGGAGGCCCCCCAGGCGGAGGCACCCGGGCTGAGGCCCCCCGGGCTGGAGGCCGGCAGAGCTGGGGCTGGGCCTGAGAGTGCTCCCCGGGACGGGAACAGGGACCCTCCACCCAGAGGCGCCACCGCGCCCCTTCCCGGCCCCTGGGGTCCTGCCTCTCCTCGGGGCTCAGCTCCAGGCCCCCTCCCCCGGGAAGATCTGTGTCGCCTGGACACCGCTCCCCCATGGCCAATCCTTGCTGCCTGGCCTCCTGATTCTCCTAAGGGGGGACTCGGCTCCTCATCTCTTACACATACACTGACCCCAGGACCCCAGGGGGGCGCCCACACCTTGGATCCCCAAATGTTTGCTGATCCGCAGGAAATGGCTTTCCCGAGAGGCAGGGGCGGCCCCGCAGGCAGGGCGGTGAGCTGTCAGGGCATGGGCGCTGTCACAGCTCCACGCGTGCACTCGTGTACTTCTGCCAGGCGACGCATGTGCGAGGCGGGACGAACGGTGACCGTGTGGGAGGGTGAGCATGCCATCGTTACCCACACTTTCTGATGTTAACAGGCCCTTACTGTGACCGCCTTGGGGAGACGTGCTTTGAACCCCGCACCCACTCACACCGCCAGCGGAGCAGTGACAGCTCCGGCCCCATGAGCTGGTGACCGCTCGCCGGCAGCTGGCACACGGGCAGGGCGGGCGCGTGCAGGGGGGCGGCCGTGGAGGACGCAGGGAGGAGGTGAGGTCTGTGCTTCGGGGGCACGGCCTCACACACACGGGGGCAGCAGAGTCACACCGCCAGGTCCCGGCAAGAACACAGAGACACCCGTTGAGCTTTTATAGGAAGAATTTAATTATCTATACACGTCACTATTCCAAAGAGGAGTTACAGTTGTTAAAGCCGCAGGCTTGTATATTTATATATTGTACATTCGTATCCATGGAAACACTGAAGCGCAGGGGAGCCGAGGGTCCCCGCAGCCAGCACAGTCCCCAGGGAGAGCCGGAAAACGGGTCGCTACGGGTTAGAGTCAGGTTAGAACGGCTAGGCTGTGCTTGAGGCTCCCCCCCGCCCGTGCTGTGGGCAGCGGGCAGCGGGCACGAGTGTTCAGACACACACAGGCTTCGGCTACGACACCTACGGGCAGGGACGTGGGCCCCCGGCACGCTGCGGAAGCCCACGGTCTGGTTAGAAATGTAAACATCGGAAACTGCAGGGAGACGTCTATACATTCTTTGTCAAGAAAATGACTTGTTCAAAACGTGTCATTCCGTGAAAAGTCACTGGAAGAACACGCCATGTAACAGACACGAGGAGACTGTGTAATACTGTTGCTATGACAACCCGATGGCATCGCCTACTGATGTATGGATGAAAACACGCAGAGTTTAAACCCAAAACAGAAAACACCAACGCAACCCGGTTCTCCGAGCCGGACAGAACCAGTTGCTCTCAGGCGGCCACGAGGCCACGGAGCACATCACACCATGCCATCGCCGTGGGCGGACCCCTCTTATGTACAGTGTGGTTACATGCTCACGGGGACACTGGAACACACACAGACCGCACGTCGGCCGGTCGCTGGTTCTACCGTCTGAGACACGCCCTGACCCTCTGCTTCCGCCCGGGGAGCTGCCGCCGGGCGTCTCAGACTCACGGACACGGGGACGTTTACAGCACATGCAGCATTCCTTGATAGTGGGTCTTTTTGCAAAACCAAAATAGCAAAGGAGTAATCTCTTTATTTATTTTATTAAAAGGCTAAAATATATATTTAAAAATAATTTTAAACGATGGAAAGCACCTGTGCCAAGGCGGGGGCAGTCAATGTGAGCCACTAGGAAAGCCACAAAAGGACCCACTACCCTGTGTGTGATTTCTGCTTCTATCTCTGCGAGTAGTAACTCCATGTTGCCATCACGTGCAACTAAGGTCAAATGAGGTAAACTGCTCTGCAGTGAGTTCTTCTACTCGGAAGGCAGTAGGTGATCATGCTGGAAGTCACATGATCAAGGCTGCATCTCCCAGCATCCCTCTGGGCAGTGATATGGGATAGTGGGTCTCTTTGAGGACTTTCAAGCCTGAGGGGGGGATGGACAACATATGATTCCTAGAAAAAGGAGGAAAACAACACATAAGCAAAACAAAACAATGAGCAAAATCCAAGCTAGGAAAATGATCGGCATGTAACAGCATGGTGCCAAATGACTTAACAGAAAGGAGGGCGGGCGGGAGGGACATGCTACGGAGGAGGAGAAATCAAAGCCGGCCCACAGGGCGGGGTGCCTGGCGAAGGTCTTCAAAGAGACGGGGAGCGGCCCGGCCGGCCCGCAGCGCGGGTGGGACCAGAGCAATGCTGCATGTGTGACCGCGAGAGGCGCGAGGGGCCGGGCCCCGCACTTACATTGCTGGCTCGGGTCCGTGTCCGTGGTCAGCTTCACGTAGTTGGACGGGAAGAGCCCCACGCGCCCGCCGACCTCGCCCTTCCACCAGTCGGGGTCCTCCTTGTTGAGGACGGTGATGACCTGGCCCTTGCTGAAGGCCAGCTCGTCATCGTTCTGCGCCGTGTAGTCGTACATCCCGATCACCTGGCACACTGCGGGGGAGGCGGGCGTGAGCTGCGCACGGAGCCTGCCCCCCCCAGGATGGGCTCTGCCAGTGTGAGCGACAGGGCAGACCAGAGGCCCACCACCAAGACCGAGGCTCCCTGTCCCACTAGTGCCTTCCTCTCCGTGCTCACTGTGAGCAGCAGAGTCAGTGACCAGGGGTGCGTGCACGGACAGGTCCCTAAGCGGTGGGACTTCGGACGTGGCCTGGGAGCCGGACTCCGGCTGCTAAGGTGCGAGGTAATGATCATGTGACCGCCGGAAACTGCAAACCTTAGTGAAACCAATCTAGCGTTTTAGTCTCCACACCTTCGCACCTCACAATTCCGTGTGAAAGAGAAACGTCTGCACTCTAGAACAACTTGCTGCCTCATTTCCTAGCTCCGCGGTCGGCAAACTGAGGCTCAAGAGTCACATGCGGCTCTCTGGCCCCTTGAGTGTGGCTCTTCCACAAAACACCACGGCCTGGGCGAGTCTGTTTTAAGTTTAAAAATGTGGCTCTCGGAAGAGATTTCAATCGCTGTGCTGTTGGTGTTTGGCCCTGTGGAGGATGAGTCTGCCGGCCGCGGGGCTAGAGGATGAGCTGCTCTCGCTGCTGGCGTGGGGACTGCAGGGACGTGCGCAGAGCTGGGCCGGAGCCCAGCTGATCTTTCGTGACCAACCTGCCGGCAGGTTAAGGTTTTCAAACCCGCCAGCCAATCCCATTGCGCCAGCAAATTAGTTCCGAGGTTTCACGCCGAGCCGCAGCCCGGAGGCCCAGCCGGGGCCGGAGCGGTCACCGCACCTGCCAGCCTGACTGCCGGCCAAGGCTGCCCCTCCCTCGCGTTCCACCGGTCACAGCCAGGCGGCCGCAGGGCCGGAACGGTCTGCTCTCCCACGCCCGGGCTCGGAGCTCCGATGCCGCCACAGCACCTAGTCTGGTCCCTTCCACCAGCAGCCGGCTCAGCGCGGAGCCCTGGTCCTCTTGGGGAGCCAGGCCACCCCCGCTCCCCAGAAGGGCACAGGAGCGATCCAGCCGCGGCGACAGCACCCCACGGCCTTCAGGAGCCCAGAGCCCGCACCGCGTCCGCGACAGGAGCCCTCCGCGGCGGAGCCGCCTCTCGGGCGCGTGGGAAGCCGGCGACACGGGGGCCGTGGGGCGGGGGCTGGGAAAGCGCTCACCTGCCGGGGGCTTGGGCAGCTCCGTGGGCGTGACCTTGCTCGTGCCGGGGCTTAAGAGTTTCACGTAATTCGCAGGGAACCAGCCGATCTGGCGCTTTTTCCCACGAGCCTGGGAAAACAAAGAGGCATCGATACGTGTACAAGGTTCAGCTCTCTCAGGACGTTTGCTCCGTAATGGAGCCCGCACGGGCACGCAGAGCTGGATGCGAGCAGCGCACGGGGAAGCCCGCCACATCGCACCAAAGACCCGGAGTGCGTCCGGCTGCAGCTGCGGCCACCGGGCAGTGGCCCAGGCGCCCGCGGCGGCCGTGGCACACAGTTCGATGGAGCCACCCGCGTGGGTACACCTGCTCCCGGCTGCCGACATCGGTGATGCAAGACCGGCTGGGCCTGGTCACACACAGCTCAGCCCGACACATAGGACACAGGTTCGATCCGGTCAGAGCACAGACCTGAGTCAGCCCATGAGCGCGTAAGTAAGCGCACGCAACAGCAAGTCCATGTTTCTCTCTCCCCCTCTCCCCCTCCCTCCTTCTCTCTCCAAAATCAATAAACTTAAAAAAAAAAGAAGTAAACACAGAAAGGTCTGGCTAATGCCAGCGTGATCTGGGGCTTTAGGAATGATTATAGCGCGGTCTGCTGGGTGCTTTCCATGAGCGAGGCCCGTGCCAGGCATGGCTGTGCGTGTGTATGCACCACCCACAGGCCGGGTGACGCAGGAAAGCGAGGGGCCGTCCCTCGGTCCCAGCAGGGGGCGAGCCAGCTCCCACGCCCGTCTGACTCTTAGTGGAGAACAGGCAAATGCACACACACAGCAATCTAAACTGGACACCGCTTTCAGAAACCAGCGGCCCTCGCCCTGTCCGGTGTGGCTCAGTGGATAGAGTATCAGCCTGCGGACTGAAAGGCCCAGGTTCGATGCCAGCCAAGGGCTACATGCCTGGGTTTCGGGCTCAGTCTCCAGTGTGGGGCGTGCAGGAGGCAGCCAATCATTGATTCTCTCTCTTCATTGATGTTTCGATCTCTCCCTCCCTCTGCCTTCCTCTCTGAAGTCAATAAATATTTAAAAAAGAAACGGCGGTCACACGTGCACGTGGTCTCATCAGCACAGACTCAGCGCTGCGCGCTCACAGGCATGTGGCCAGGTGGGACTCGGAGTCCGGGCAGGAGCCAGGGCTCAGTCCTGACTAGTCCATGAAGGAGAGACCAGTCCGGGCTGGTATACTGCTGCGTTCACCGAAACAGAGGCCAAAACCTCTCACGCATGAACACTCACACACACACACACACACACACACACACACAGGAACTAAAACTCCTATGAGGCAGAGGTGGCTCTGGACACACAGAACCTCCTACTGGACCCTTCGGCCGGTGGTGAGCTCCGCCTGGGACAGGCAGGGCCCAGGGCGACCTCGGGGACCCTCGTCGCTGCCTCTCCGGCCCCGCTCTCGCCAGCTGAGTCCCCAGCTGAGTGAGGGGCCCAAACCACTTGCATCTCCCCCGAGAGTCCTGCCGAGGCTCCGGCACCAAACGGGTCCCGACAACACGGCACATCCCCGCCATCCAAGCGCGGCTGACTCTGGGCGGAACAGTGTCCCCGGTGACCCGCCGTCCCCCTGGACGGAGTCCACGCCGAGGACAGCACGCACCTGCAGCTCTCCTTCCCACCATCCTCCGGGGTTCTTCTTCCGGATCAGGATCAGCTGGCCGGGGGCCAGGGTGAGCTGCTCGGGGCCCGTGGCCGTGTAGGAGGCGATGACCTGGGCTATTTCTGGAAAACAAGAGCAGCGGGCCGCGTCAGGGAGGAAGGCGCCCGAGAGGACGCTCCCGCTCCCAGGCCGTCCTCAGCGCCACTCGGGCGTCTTCTCGAGGGAGGGCGGCCCTCGCCCATCACCCGCCCGGGCTGACGTGCAAGTGCAGCGCGCAGGCCGCAGCTGCTGGGGACCCGCCGGTCCTTCCACAAGCTGCCCCAACGCCAGCACTTTCCGGCCTGGCCCCTCCCCAACAGCTGGCCCCTCTGTCCACGTGCCCTCTGCCCGCCCTCTGGCCGCCCACTCACGACGGGGAGACGGGGACACAGGCAGCGCGGAACCCCGGAGCCGGCTCTGCCCCATCCGGCCGCGGCTCAGGCCCTCCCCGCCCGCAGGCCGTGCCGGGCTCACACTGCGTGACCCTGAACGGCGGGGAGCCGTGCCAGTGCCGGCCACTGCTCTTCGCTTCGAGTTAACGAAGAGCCCGGAGTAAAGGCGGGAAGTTCACGCAGAAGCGATTCAGCGCGGAAAAAGGAGACAGGAAGCCCGTCGGGGACCATCCCAGCAGCACGCGGCTAGGGGCATGGCCGCTGGGCGGGGGCGGGAGGGCAAGACCCTTCTCTGCCCCAGCAGGGACAGCGGCACTGCTCTCCCCTCCGCCGGCCCTCGCCATGCTCCGCCCTCCTCGGGGAGGGAGGTGGAGAGGGAGAGGGGAAGCACCCGACGGAACGCCCCCTCCTCCACGGCACACAGCCCGAGCCCCGAGGACGGGATCACGGGTCTAAATCCCGAGAGCTCGGTGCGGACAGTCCAGGCCAGTGGCCTTCTGACCCCGGCTGTCCTGGCCTCCCAGGCCGGTGGCAGCGGCCGCCCAGCCCTCTCGCTCCCGTGGCTGGCTCAGGGCGGAGGAAAGCCCGGCCCTGCAGGGGGACAGCTCAGCGGCAGCCCACGCCCCCGACGCGGAGCCCTGAGCCTGATGACACTGGAAGGGAAGCGCGGGCACTTACCAGGCTTTTTTCCTAAACTCCCTGTTTTCCCAGCGGTTCCAGAGCCCTTAAAACAGACAGAAGGTCTCATTGGCACACGGCAGAGCTTCAGTCATGCAACTTAAAACGACCAACGCGACACAGGTCCGCTGGGCCCTGCCCCACCCCCTCCTTCCCGCAAACAACGGCGCTGGGTCTCCTGACGGGAGTGGGGAACACGGGCAGAGGACGCACCTAAACATGCGTCCTGACTCTCTGCTCGCTGTCCCCGCCACGTCTACCAGTGCCACGCAAGACCCATGTCCTCCACACCATCTCCTGCTCCCTGTTCACATGTCAGTTCTGACACATTTCACATTAAAGAGCATAGACATCCAGCGCCCAGACTTAAGACATGGAAATAGGAATATTTTGCTACATTCCCTTTAGAGTTTTCTTTTAAAAATAAAAGAACTTTAGTGGCAGGCAGACACCCTTCCCTACCCGTCCTCTGCCCTAACCCTCTCACCCTAAACTCCCGTTTCTCTCTCAGCGGGACGCACCACCCACACAAGCAGGACATGCTTCCAGCCATGGAGTGTCCCAGAGCGCCTGCTGAGTTCCCAGTCAGCAGAGCCGAGTCCCCGGCGCTCGGTTCTGAACCCCCCTCCCTCCCGTCCTCGGAGTGACTCGCACCCTCCCATGGGAGCACGGCTCAGCTTCCGGAGCCAGACATGTCTCTCCTCCGCAGGAGCACAGCTGGCCCAGGCCCTGTACCCGGTTCCTTCCCTTTCCCAGGGAAGCCGGAGGGAAGGGTTCGCCCCGGGCCGTCTGTAACGGGGACACGCACCAGCCTCCACCCTGTGCACCGGCTGCACATGGAGACGGACTGCGAGGGGGCGAGTGGCCATGCCTTCCCGGCGGGCTTATAGCCAACACTCCCTCCCCCGGCCTTCCCCGGGAGGGCAGTGCCACTGGCCACGCCCATGGGAGCTCAGGGGCTCCGCTGTGCTCCCTGCTCCCTGTCCGGGCCCAGCCCTGCACCCCTGGGCCTTTCACGGCCGGGAGGCCCAGGAGAGAAGCCACAGGCGGCGCTGGAACCCGAGGCCGAGGCCCTGTGCCGTGGGAGGCTTCCACGCTGAGCCACGTCCAAGGAGGGCGGACGGATGGCTCAGGGGTGTTGTAAGTGTGGAATCATGGAGCTACATGTCCCAACCTCGGGCACTGCCAGCTCTTCCACCACGGAAACTTCCAGACTGCGGTTAGGAAGCTCCTTACCTACCACCCATCTTTCCCTCAGAAACGTCAGCGCCTCTTTTCACTGAGTGGCTTCCGGTGGCGTTCTACAGAGAACTGCACTTTATTCAGATGTAAGCGATGGCGTTTGTTTTAACTAACCTGACAGGCACAGTCACTTTAAAAGCTGTGCATGATAACAAGCGAGTTCACGTTTAGGGCCTTCACACTCTCCCCTCCCCCAAATATCATCTGCGTGTCTCTGGGGACCCGGGGGCCGCTGGCTGTCCCAGGGAGGGGCTTCCTCCCCCGGTGGGTTCTCACTCCACAGCCAGGAACACAGAAAGCAGGACTGTCCTGGACCCTCCGAGGAGAGCCAGAGGCGATTCCTGGGCCGAGGGGCGGGGAGGCTGGGGTGGAGGCTGGGCCCCTTACCCCCCATCCCCACCCCCACCCCCACCCTCAGCTTCAAAGGCCACTGTGTCCACGCTGAGCTGGGGAGGGGCTCTGGGGTCTGGCGGGCACAGGGAGTCCGAGGAGAGGGGAGCGCAGCAAGCCAACGGCTGGTCCTTGCTGGTCTGTGTCTGAGCAACGCTGTCCACCGCACGGACACCCTGGAACCCTTGTACCAACGTGGAACTGGCCCCCACGAGGTGGGCTCCCGCACCCGGGACACCCCTCCATTAAATTCATATCATCTTGAGACCAGTGTGAGCCACTGAGCGTTCAGAGCCCATTTAACGAGGGCCGTTCCCGCGTGGAGCAGCCTGACAGCGCACACAGACACGCAGCCGCAGAGACTCTGAGGCCAAAGCAGGCCCGCCTCTGGGACCCCGGGTGGTCCTGCGGTGCCGGCAAACGCGTGGGCTCAGACACGCTCTCCTGCCCGTCTCCTGGGCAGTGTCACCCAGGTACTGCCTCACATGGCCAAGTGCCGCCGTGTCCCGCTGGGGAACCCCGAAGCAGCGGGCGTGAAGGCCTGAGTAAGAACGTCTCCGAGTCCTCCAGTCCACGCGGGAAGGGGGACCGCACTGAGCACTGTGCCCGCTGCTGTGGGCACCGGGCAGCGGCCTCCGCAGCCTGGGTGTTCTCCGTGGTCGGAAGCCAGCGCTCAGCGGGCAGCACCAAATGCCAGGCCACACGGTCTCAGCAGCCACCCCGTCCCACGCACAGGCCCGCCCCTGCGGAGAGAACGCTGTGGAGGAAGCGGTTAGCGTTTACCTCTGCGTCTTTGAGCCTCACATAGTTAGAGGGGAAGACTCCGGACTTGTCACCCACTGTTCCTGTCCACCAGTCCCCATCTTTCTTGGTGACCAAAATCACATCCCCTTGCTGGAAGGTCAAGTCGCCTTGCTCAGCGCTCTCGTAAGTGTACATGGCAATGAACTCTGGTGGAGAGAAGCGGAGACACGGGAGAGCGTGTTGTTGACAGAAGCCAGACAGCTTTGCAGAAGAGAGTTCATGAGCCCGCAGGTGAGGATGGAGCCATTGGAGAGAAAGGCAGGTCACAGGTGGATACAGTCTAAGGCCCCTGGCCTCGAACCTCAGGGCTCAGGACACTCAGTCCCCGCGGGGACAGGACGCCAGCCGCCGAGCGCGCTACAGCGTAGCGTCCTGCTTCCTCCAGGAGGGAGCATCGCTGTGTTTCCTGGAACAGTTACTGAGCGCCCAGCCTGCCGCTCTGGAGTGCCCGGCATGTGTCTCAGTGTTGCGGGTCTGGGTCACATTCTGGTTAGCTCTGGGTACAGACTGCCCTTCATGCCAATCAAATAAGGCATGCCTTTCGTTATTCGATGCCCGAGTGCAAACTTTTACCTGCTGTGCCCCCGCACAGATGGCAGGAAGCTGTTAGGCACAAAGGGAAAAACATACGCCATCTCATTAAAGCTGGGCAGCTACTTGTCATTCAAGTGCAGACGCGGGTAGAACGGGTTCCCACGCGGAAGCCACGTCCGCTTCCCGTGAGCACAGTCCTCTGCGGGCTCTGCTCTGACCCCTTCCCATCTGCTCAGCGCTCCGGCGGCACCTAACACAGGTCCCGGAGCAGTGCTTTCCCAGCGCTGACAAAGCAGTACGCAGCCGCCCAGAAACCACCGAGCCTTTTCGAACAAATCGAAGAGAAAAATCAGCTTCTTACGCTTCATCACTCATGTGATTCAGTCTTGAGAATAAGAGCTAATGTTCTCTTCTGTCTGGGTGGGAAGGGAGTACTGCAGGGGAAATCCTCCTTTTTAATTAGAAGCAGCTTAGAAACCCCGTCACAGGCTAAACAGGATCACCAGCCACAAGCCTTAGACACTGAACGAAATACAGGGCTCCGTTTATCCTCAGCACTTACATATTTTTAATCAATAAAGAATCACACGTTCACTCTATGAGGGGCACTGTGTGAAAGCACCATGTCCTGCCGCCCAGCACCGTGAGGGCAATGCTTCCCCAGGGATCCCTGCATCTAAAAGGCACTTTCTCAGAAATGGAGCCAAATCTGAATAAACCCTCAAAATGTCCGGTGACTTCAGCAGCTCCCCGGCTGCCTCAGCAGTCAGCGGGCACAGGACCTGAGGCGGCAGGACGTGGCTGTCCTCACCTGCCACACGCAGGGACCTGTGGGGACGTGAGGCTGACACACGGGGGCACCACCGAGACCCTTCTGGCCACTGACCACGTGCTGGCTGTCCCCAGGCCCACACTGCAGTCTGTGTCACCTGGCGGGTCTAGTTTAAGGTGATGACGGTGAATGCAGTGCCGACAAGCAGCCCGTTCCTATCTGTAAAGGGAAGCTCAGAACCAACGTCCTCCCACCCCAGCTGCCAGCCCTCTCCTGGGGGTATGTGTTTCTAATGTGCAGACCACGCAGGGGGCGGATAAAGGGCACCTGCGTCTGTATGCGTGGGGTCCGTCGGAGACCTGCTGAGGCCTCAGGGCGTGCTCCGTCCGCGGCTGCGGGCCGGCAGTAACCAGGAGGCGAGAGGGGCCGAAGCAGCCGACGCCACGGACCTTTCCTCTAAATCCCTCACGCACGTGACCGCACAGCCTGTCAATCTAGCTCCCGCCGCCCCGGAGGGCCAGCCAACGTTACACGGTTACCGGGGGAGGCGCTCCGGTGAGACTCAGCATCACGCCGAGCTCGGGGAGTGGGACAGCTTTCCGCCTCGTTCTCCTAACGGCGGGAAAGAGGTTGCAGGATAGGATGACAGTGGATACAGAGAACTATGCTGGCGACGGTTTAGTGACAGTAAGCGTCTGTAACCACGCCTGGACGTTTAGAAACAGGCCTCTAAAACGCCCCCTGAACAAGAACCTGGTCACTGTGAGCCTGCTGTCTCAGGGTAACCACTGCTTTGATGACTGTTTTCCTTAAGCTGAGGCGCCCTAGGATGCAGCCATCCCGAGGCGCACAGCCGCATGGACAGTCTGGCCTCGGGTCATGTATGCCGGGGCCCGGGAGGGTTACTACCAGCTGGTAGACACTGGGCACCGCCCACGCTGCTCCGACGCGGCCATGAGAGCCGGCCTGGCTAGGCAGCAGCACCGGCCTGAGAGCCACGCAGCGGCTGGGAGGGAGCAGGGGCCCGCGGCGTCCCGTCGGAGCCTGAGGAAGGCGGTTTCGGTCCCTTTTAAACCCGCGTCACCATCGGCACAGGCATGTCATGAAGCAGAGACCAGGAAATACAGCCACCGGTTGGTGGGTAATAAAATGCGATTGTAGGCCTAAGTGATCTGGCCTGGTCACTCCCATGGAGCCTAGAGGTGAACTCCGGTCCGTCTGGGACAGTACAGGTGATGCTGTGCCGCCGGACAGTCCGCCGGATGGGGCTACGGCGCACCCTCCCGCCGGGTCCAGAGCAGCCGTCCACAAGCAGCGGCCAGCGTGCTCGGCAGCCTGGCCCTCCGGACTCCGATGGCTCTGTCCGGGCCAAAGGGCTCTCGGACAGGAGGAGGGAGCGGCTTGGGTCCGTGTGTCTGACGCACCGGGAATCTCCAGAGGGCGGTGGTGCACAGGCTCCCTCACCTGAGCGGCTGACCTGCCGCACACAGGCCGTCCGCGGAGGGCAGCCGGTGGCCTCGCTCCGCACACGGGCTGCGGTGCCCCCCCCCCCCCCCCCCCCCGGGCACAGCGAGCCGGGCGCTCACCTTCTCCCGAGGGGGCCGGCTTGGCCGCCGGCGAGGCCACTCGCTTTAGAGGCGCGGGGCTGTCTGAAGAGCCAGGGTCCGAGCTGAAAGGGGAGGGGAGAGTGTTTTAGTTTCATCTTCAAAGGAAATCGTACAAAACCCACTGGTTCTTCTTTTCTGAAACTGTTCAGTGTTAAACACTGCGAGCAATCTCCAGCCGAAACCGGCGCTTGGCTGAGACACAGGCGCCCGGCCGGTTCCACGCTCACACCTTGTTTCTCGGCCCGGGCGTGCGGGACACGCAGCCGGCGTGCGGCCTGCTCCGAGCCTGACTGACAGCCGCTGGGGCTATGTCTGCTATTTCCTCTTCTGCACCTCACGGCTGGTTTGGAACCCCATGGGGCTGGCTGGTCAGTCAGCCAAGCCATCTTGCTGAGGGGACGCAAAGACACTCCCCGCGAGGCGGCTCCCGAGGCTCCGGTGCGTGTCTGAGAGGGCTGACCCTCCCACGCTCAGGCGCCATCGCCACACGCCCACAGGGATGGCCCCACAGAACCCTCCGGGGGTGTTAAGGGAGCACAGACTCCCAGGCTCCCCCCAGGCAGGACGTGAGCCCGTATGCCTACGAGGCCGCCCTCACGGTCGCAGGGCCCCCCTCCCACAGGTGCAGACGCGGAGGACAGAGCTGCCCAGCAGACCCGAGGCCCGTGCTCCCCGCAGAGCCCGGCCCACACGCACCTGGCCGCCGGCTTGCGGGGGGGCCCGGAGACGAGCTTCACGTAGGACTTGGGGAACCAGCCCTTCTGGCCCTGCACCTCCCCGAACCACCACATGTCCTGCTGCTCCAGCACGGCCACCACGTCGTTCTTGTTGAAGTTCAGGTGGTTGTCCTTCTTGGCCCGCCAGGGGTACAGGGCCTGCGCCTGCAGCCCCTCCACCTTCTCGCCCTGTGGGGACGACACGGGCTCGTCACGGCGGGACCTGCGGTCTCGGGCCGCTGCAGACGGCGGGGTACAGACACCCCGTTTCTCGGGAACGGCTTGTTTTCCAAGGTGCCGGCGAGAGCTGCCGGCCATTCCCGGAGCCACGGTCTGGTGTGGAGACCTGGCCGCTCAGACGCTGCGGCCCCCGCCCGTCCTTCCACGTTCCCGTCTGTTCACGCCCACGCTGCCCGGGCACCCCTCACCAGGCCAGGCTGGCGCGGTGCCGGAAGGTTAACACCGGAGCAGAAAACCTAAGAAACCCCACCGGGGAGCAGCTGGCCCTCAGTCCAGGGCCCGCACGGACCCTGACAGCTCGGTTCCTTCTTAGAACTCCTGAAAGACAGCGGAGGACGGAGCTGGGCGCATCCGACAAGGCCCCTCCTAATGGGCCGCCCAGGCTGAAGCACCTGCTGACCCGGCTGACCCCACAGCGTGCGCGGTTCCCCCAACACACACACACACCCCAGCTGCTTACCTGGCCTAACACCGGGGACGGAGAGGAGCCGGTGGCCGTGGCAGGAGTGAAGGCTGACCGCTGCCGCACCTGGCCGGCGCCGGGCACGGAGAGCGAGGGCTGGGCTGCCCAGGCATCCCAGCTGTCTGTGTCGGGCTTCCCGGCCGCGCTGGGCCACCTGCAGGGGAGCAGCCGTGAGCAGAGGCCCTCCCAGCCCCCGGCTGCTCCCGGGACACAGCCCAGCCCGGCCCCGCGGCTCCAGATGGGGAGGAGGAAGCTCGGGACGTGGGGGCCAGCTCCCTGCTGACAGCGAGCCTCGGGCAGTGACAGCGGCTTCTCTGAGCCACCACTTCCTCGCTGACCAACGGGAAGGCCCCTCTGAATCTCTGGCTGGTGGAGGGTCACGGAAACACCAGGTGGGCAGACACGCTCACCACGGGCACCAGCAGCACCCGCCCTGGCCATCACTGTCACTGCGACAGAGCGGCGACATCGGCGAAGAGGGTCACACACCGCGTGTGAAGGAGCCAGCGGGTGCCTCGCACTCCCAGCGCCGTTTCTCCCTCCTCCCACCGCCGCCAGCCCTGACCTCCGGGACTCCGCTCCAAGTCTGACCGGAAACGGCCCACCTGCGTGAGGGCCCGCGTCTCTCTGCGGCGTGAACGCAGCCGGGAAGGAAGCCCCTGCCTTTGTGGACGGCACGTCCTGGCTCGGGGCTGAAGCTGAGACAAGGTGGCCGGACGTCCCGCTTTTTAACAATTTGTCCCGCGGCGTTATAAAAACGTCCCGATTTTTGGAAAGAAACACTGCGGGATGCGGGACAAATTGTTAAAAAGCGGGACGTCCGGTCACCTTAAACGAGGAGGCCCGGACGGACAGCAGCGACTGCAGCCACGTTCCCGGAGGAAGCCACGCTGCGGGGTCCACAGCCACGCAGCCCGCAGGGCAGGCCCCGGCCTGTTAGCTGCGCCCGGGCTCAGTCAGCGCTTCTCAGCCCAGGTGGCGGGAGAGGGCGGCCACCTCAGCCCCTCCCTCCAGCTGGCCTTCCCCTGAAGGACGCGAGACTTGAGAAAGACTGGAAGCGCTTTTTACTCACATCCCTGTGCCTGGGCCGGGGTGAGGGAGGGAGGGGGAGCCAGACACCTGCACGCCTCGCGCATGCGTGTCTCCAACCAAGTGGGCAGTGGCCCAGCTGTCGCTCCCAGCCTCTGCTGCCCCGTCTCCAGTGCCATTTCCTGGGGACCAAGGGCACGTCCCGGCCACGGCACCCGCTCCTCACTCTGCACATCCGTCCAGGACGGAGAGGAGAGCGGCAGAGCAGCTCGTCTCCCTCAGAGCCGAGGACCGAAGTCCTGTCCGTTCTGTCCGGCTGGGAAGTGCGGACACGCAGGACACGCTGAAGAGCTGCTGCTGGCCTGGACGCCAGAGACGGTTAGGAAACTCTCCATTTCTCCCGGCGATCACGGAGCCACGCGCATCAGCCCCGTTCTGGGAGAGGAACCCCCGCTGCCGGGGACGGGCGCGGCTCCACCCTGACTGTGGCAGCCCCTAAGGAAGTCTGACTGGGAAGCCAGTTGTCCCCGAGCGGAGTCCCACAGGCCCCGCAAGGGGGCCGCACTCACGTGGAGCTGAAGTCGGCCCAGTTGTTGGGGGTGGCGGAGGGCTCGGCCGCAGGCACGGCCGGAGCAGCCGGCGCCTCCCGCACCTCCAGCTTGGGCGCGGGGGTGGAGGTCAGGTCTGCCGCTGGTTTGACGGGGGCAGGAACCTCGTTTTCTGTGATCTTCTCGGCGTAGTTGGCAGGAAACCACCCCGTCTTGCCTTTCAGCTCTCCTCCGAGCCACCCTGGCTCTCCAGTCTGGCTCTCGTCCACCTGCAGGAGAGCCACAGGGTTGAACTAAGCAGGTCTGACCAGTGCACAGATGCTGGACACACAGACGAGGCCTGGCCCCCAGACTGACCCCTGGGAGGCTCTGAGCCTGACCCCGGTGGGTTTGAGCCTGACCGCAGGCAGGTCTGAGCAGGGAGCCGAGCCCTGGCCTCAGCAAACGGGGAGCCAGCAATCAGCTCTGACCTCGGGGGGAAGGGGGGGTTCAGTGTTCCTAATAACGGCAGTTCCCACCAAGAGCCTGGCCCGAGGCCCACAGCGACCTGCTTAGATAGCGGGAACTGACAAGGGCCGGCCACACAGCATCACTCAGGGGCCAGCTGGTTATTATGGACAACGGGGCGGGTGCTTACGTAGAGCTGGAAGCTAAGGGTGCCAGCAACTAAACCCAGCATCCTCTAACCCTCTGACGCGCTGCTAGCGGAGGGCAGAGATGAGGCAGCCGTGGCCGGTTCCGTGGAGGAACGCCGCCCGCCGCTGAGCCGGGTAAAGGCTGCGAGGTGCGTGATGAGAAAAGGAAGGACGTAATTATTCGCAGCGGCAACTTCCGTTAAGTCCCAGTTTCCTGCCGGACAAACTCAGCTTTAAGGATGTGAGCGTGTGAAACTGCAGCTCAGAACTCCGGAGGCTGCGTTACCCAGCTCCTCACTCTGCCCGCTTCAGCTCTGCCCAGACGTGACGGCACCAGCGGAGTGAGTCTGCTCTCGTTACAGCTTACACTGTCTTAGGAGCAACGGGAGGACCAGGGGGAGGACAGCTGCCCTCGCCGATGGGAAAGTCTGTCCACTGCTCTAAGCCAGTGGTCAGCAAACTCATTCGTCAGCAGAGCCAAATATCAACAGTAAATGACTGAAATTCCTTTTGAGAGCCGAATACCGACTTCTGCGCACGGGCCACGAAGTTTCAGTCACACTGTCCACGTGCCCCGCACGTGGTATTTCGTGGAAGAGCCACACTCAAGGGGCCAAAGGGCCGCATGTGGCTAGAAGCCGAAGTTTGCCAACCACTGGGCTAGGCTAAATAGGGGCTAGCAGAGACCTCATCTGATTGTGAATCCCTTAACATACTAAGGAGGTAACATATTTAACACTTTACTGGACATTAATGCTACTTTTAAGAAACCACAGAAATGAGTAGGCAGGGTCTTAATAGTGGTTTTAGAAAAAAAAGGCAAAAATACCAGTTTTCTAACCCATTCAAATTTCAAAAAACAAAAAAAAGAAAGCAAAAAACTATAGGCCCAAGCACCTATCTGTATTCTGTGCAGAGTAACGGTGTGTGGGGTGGGGTGGGGAGAGGAGTACCCAGCTGACTACTGAGCTGTGACTCAGCTGGAGGGTGCCGCTCAGTGGGAGGGTGGGAGGGTGGGAGCCGTCTGAGTGTGAGGACTCGCCAGCAGGAAGCTGTCCGGGGCGGAGGGCTCCGCCGCAGGTCCCGCAGACAGTGCAGTCCCCTTCGGAGGCTGCTGGGCCCTGCAGACTGCGACCCACTGACACTGAGTCCCTGCCTCCGCCTCCCACACAGCTTGTTCTAACTCCATTTTTGGGGCGGCCCCTTAAAAATATATATTTTTATTGATTTCAGACAGGAAGGGAGAGGGAGAGAGAGAGATGGAAACTTCAATGATGAGGGAGGGTTACCGATCGGCTGCCTCCTGCGCCCCACACTGGGGGTCGAGCCTGGGCCCTGACGAGGAATGGAACTGTGACCTCCTGCCTCCCAGGTCGACGTTCAACCTGTGAGTCACCCGCTGGGCTCCACGAGCTTCCTGAGCTGCCTCCCGGGCCGGGCTCTGCGCTGCCCTCTTCCCGGCCCCGCTCCTGTGCAGCCCGGCCTGGGCCTGGCCTCCCTCCCGGGACACCCTGGCTCTCACAGGGAGGCCGTGCCCAGAGGCCAAGAACGCCTCCGGCCCGGAACCCGTCCCCGTGCCCGCTGGACCCCTGCAGGGTGGGCAGGTAACAGCCTCCCACCCTCAGACATGGGGTCTGCCCGGTAACAGGCTGCTGGCCAACCTGTGAAGCCCCGGGAGTGCCCCGTCCCAGGTGGTGGGCAGGCCTGCCCTCCCGCCTCCAGTGGCCAGGTGCCCCACCGAGGGAGGGCTGTAGGCTGAGCAGGGGCCTCAGAGCTCACCTCCAGGACATTCCCTGCCAACGGCCCCCGAGCTCGGGCAGGAACCCCGCATCTGCATGGACATCATGTCTTAATGGGAAGGGCCAGGGAGGTAACCCCGTACAGTAATAACCACTCACACTAACGCCCCTCAAACCACCAGCCACGTCACAAAGAAGGGACACAGGGCTCCGACCCCCTCCCAGCAGGACACAGCGGGCCGGGGCGGTCTGGGGGGACTCGCCACTCACGGGGACCTGCTGGGACAGAGCAGCCAGATTCCCGCCTTTGCCCCAGGAACATGGGGACACAACACTGTCCCCCCCCGCTGGGGTCCGGCGGCTGGACACTGCCCCTGGCCGTCATAACTCCACCTGGACGGCCGGAGCCAGAGGCGGCAGCCACGCCGCACCTGGCCGTGCGCCCTCCGCTCCGTCACAGCAGCCAGGGAGCCGGCCCACAGCCACGTGTGCGCCCGCCACGCCGCACAACCGTGACCGTCACCCTGAGCGGACGGGAGCTGTGAGCCTGAGGAAGGCGGAGGGGAAGGGAGAACACTAAAGGGACTGATGCTATTTTAAGAGAAATTCGTGAGTGAAGCTGTTCTGACAGAATGCTAACTATAAGCAGACAAGTTCTGGGCGCCGTGGCTGACAGCCGCTGGAGGCCTCCTTTGCTGGGTGACCAAGAAGACACTGTCCAGAGTCGGCACTAGTGCTGGCAAGAAGAGAGATTAGGCTTAACGAGGAGGAAGGCCTTCTTTTCCCGCTGCTGCGCTCCGCGTGTACCTGTGCCCGCTCTGCCATCCCCGCTGGCGGCGTGTGGGCGGCCGGGAGGCGTGTGGGCGGCCGGGAGGCGTGCGGGCGGCCGGGAGGCGTGTGGGCGGCCCGGGAGGCCGGGAGCGGGCGGGAGGCGTGCGGGCGGCCGGGAGGCGTGTGGGCGGCCGGGAGGCGTGCGGGCGGCCCGGGAGGCCGGGAGCGGGCGGGAGGCGTGTGGGCGGGCGGGAGGCGTGTGGGCGGCCGGGAGGCGTGTGGGCTGCCCCGGAGGCGTGCGGGCGGGCCCGGGAGGCGTGTGGGCGGCCCCAGGAGGCGTGTGGGCGGCCCGGGAGGCGTGTGGGCGGCCCGGGAGGCGTGCGGGCGGCCGGGAGGCGTGCGGGCGGCCGGGAGGCGTGCGGGCGGCCGGGAGGCGTGCGGGCGGCCCCGGAGGCGTGTGGGCGGCCGGGAGGCGTGTGGGCGGCCGGGAGGCGTGTGGGCGGGCCCGGGAGGCGTGCGGGCGGGCCGGGAGGCGTGCGGGCGGCCCGGGAGGCGTGTGGGCGGCCGGGAGGCGTGTGGGCGGGCCCGGGAGGCGTGCGGGCGGGCCGGGAGGCGTGCGGGCGGCCCCGGAGGCGTGTGGGCGGCCGGGAGGCGTGTGGGCGGGCCCGGGAGGCGTGCGGGCGGGCCGGGAGGCGTGCGGGCGGCCCGGGAGGCGTGTGGGCGGCCCCGGAGGCGTGTGGGCGGCCGGGAGGCGTGTGGGCGGCCGGGAGGCGTGTGGGCGGCCGGGAGGCGTGTGGGCGGCCCCGGAGGCGTGTGGGCGGGAGGCGTGTGGGCGGCCCCGGAGGCGTGTGGGCGGCCGGGAGGCGTGCGGGCGGCCGGGAGGCGTGCGGGCGGCCGGGAGGCGTGCGGGCGGCCGGGAGGCGTGCGGGCGGCCCCGGAGGCGTGTGGGCGGCCGGGAGGCGTGTGGGCGGGCCCGGGAGGCGTGCGGGCGGGCCGGGAGGCGTGCGGGCGGCCCGGGAGGCGTGTGGGCGGCCGGGAGGCGTGTGGGCGGGCCCGGGAGGCGTGCGGGCGGGCCGGGAGGCGTGCGGGCGGCCCCGGAGGCGTGTGGGCGGCCGGGAGGCGTGTGGGCGGGCCCGGGAGGCGTGCGGGCGGCCCGGGAGGCGTGTGGGCGGCCGGGAGGCGTGTGGGCGGGCCCGGGAGGCGTGCGGGCGGGCCGGGAGGCGTGCGGGCGGCCCCGGAGGCGTGTGGGCGGCCGGGAGGCGTGTGGGCGGGCCCGGGAGGCGTGCGGGCGGGCCGGGAGGCGTGCGGGCGGCCCGGGAGGCGTGTGGGCGGCCCCGGAGGCGTGTGGGCGGCCGGGAGGCGTGTGGGCGGCCGGGAGGCGTGTGGGCGGCCGGGAGGCGTGTGGGCGGCCCCGGAGGCGTGTGGGCGGCCCCGGAGGCGTGTGGGCGGCCCCGGAGGCGTGTGGGCGGCCGGGAGGCGTGCGGGCGGCCGGGAGGCGTGCGGGCGGCCGGGAGGCGTGCGGGCGGCCCCGGAGGCGTGTGGGCGGCCGGGAGGCGTGTGGGCGGCCGGGAGGCGTGCGGGCGGGCCCGGGAGGCGTGTGGGCGGCCCGGGAGGCGTGCGGGCGGGCCGGGAGGCGTGTGGGCGGCCCCGGGAGGCGTGTGGGCGGGAGGCGTGTGGGCGGCCCCGGAGGCGTGTGGGCGGCCGGGAGGCGTGTGGGCGGCCGGGAGGCGTGCGGGCGGCCGGGAGGCGTGCGGGCGGCCCCGGAGGCGTGTGGGCGGCCGGGAGGCGTGTGGGCGGCCGGGAGGCGTGTGGGCGGGCCCGGGAGGCGTGCGGGCGGGCCGGGAGGCGTGTGGGCGGCCCCGGAGGCGTGCGGGCGGCCGGGAGGCGTGTGGGCGGGCCCGGGAGGCGTGCGGGCGGGCCGGGAGGCGTGCGGGCGGGCCGGGAGGCGTGTGGGCGGCCCCGGAGGCGTGTGGGCGGCCGGGAGGCGTGTGGGCGGCCGGGAGGCGTGTGGGCGGCCGGGAGGCGTGTGGGCGGCCCCGGAGGCGTGTGGGCGGGAGGCGTGTGGGCGGCCCCGGAGGCGTGTGGGCGGCCGGGAGGCGTGCGGGCGGCCCCGGGAGGCGTGTG